TGTTTAAGATTATATAGGAAGGGATGAAATAAACTTGTCTTTCTTCGGAGGGAAAATTACTCAATAGAACAGCAAACTCAGCTGGGCATGGTGGCACATGCTTGCAATTGCAGCATTCTGGGAGCCAGAGACAGAAGAATTGCAAATTCAACCACAGATTGGTCTGCTTAGCAATATAGTGAGACTGCACCTTAAAAAAAAAAAAAAAAAAACAGCAAACTCTGATGATGTGTGTAAAAGGGAACTTATCTCGTTTAGCATCAGAGCTAATTTGATGGATATTTTTCCTGTTTCATAAGCGTGCCATTTGGCAGTCTGAATTACCTTGTCCGTTACCTTCTAGACACTGTCAATCACCTCGCAGCTCAAATGAGCTTTCCTTAACGTGTCTTAGCTCTCAGAATCCCCTAAACCATCTGATGGCCACGGTGGGGGAGGAAACACAGAGGTCCCACATTCTTTTCCTGCTCATTTGCAGGGTCCACTAGCTAGCCTCCCCTCCCTAGCAACTTCTGCCAGATGTTACCCCAAAGACGTAACGCTTTCATCCTGCCAACTTGAAGCCCATTTCCAGCTAAGTCCTATTGAAACTGCTGCCTCAATATTAATTTGCTGCTTACTTCTGTCCTCTTGTTTCATGACTTCTTTCTCCTTTGAGGTTTTGAACAACCCAAGGATGCAATTCCTAAAATGCTTCATGTAGTTTCTGTTTCTTACGTAGTTTTATTTCATTTCCTAAAATTTTGAGAAGAAGAGTTGGCTGATGAGAGAGGCGGCTCAGAGTAACTGACCCTGCCATCCCTCTCCCCGGCAGGACAGCGTAGCCCTGAGAGGTCCGGGACCGCCTGCCCTGCATTGCAAGTGTTTACCGCAATGCGTGTCTCCAACACGGTGAGGGCAGAGCCCAGTGCTGCCTGGTTTGAGAGCATGGAGCATTTCAAAAATAGGTTTGGAAAGCATGCCTGGCAGTCCAGGATAATGCAACGACTGAAATTAGAGCAAAGCTTTACTAATGAACTAATTCTGTGCCCTAGGAAAATCCCTCGTTCTTTCTGATCCTTGATTTTTTTCATCTGGACAATGGGATGGTTTCTTCACCGCTGACCTGAGTGTCAGTGTGAAGTTCAAATGGATGTCTACATATGCCTTCATAATGAAGCATTATTGTTGGACTCAATATAGCAAATCTGAGTCCTTTCGGTATACTTTTAGAAGAGTGTTTTTTTCTGAGGGATATTCTTTTTTTTCCCCTTTGGTTCTGGGAACCGAACTCAGGACCTTATGCCCACAAGGCAGGCAGCACCACTGAGCTAAATCCCCGGCTGAGGGGTACTATCGACTCTGGTAACACTCGTCTAATAATCTTTTGAGGGATCTGCATGCAGTTGCTTATATTGTTTTGTTATGGCTCACAAACCTTTTTCATTATAAATTTCAACACAGTAATACGTTACTCTACATAGACTACTTTAAAAATGGGTATTAAGAAGATATGATTTGCGGAGAGGGAAAGGAGGCCTGGGACTGAGCGGAGAGGGGAGGGCTGTGAGGGAAGGGGAGTAAGAGTGATTAAGGTGCAGTGTGTATAAGTAGCAACTCTTCAAGATGAACTTAATTATTACACACTGCGAACACATACCAATGCATAAAAATTTTAAATAAACTGATGGAAGAACTATAAATAAAAATTTAAAAATCTGTTTGTAAGAAGATCTCATCTCAGAATAATGACCTACTTGTACATATGTTATAGTATTCTTACACTCCCACCACTCAGCTAAATCCCCGGCCCCATAAGGTCCTTTCTATGACAGTTTGCCGACAACCAGATTGGCTTAGAGGCCCATTCATGAAATCAAGTCAAAATTCAGCATGCAGGCCATATAAGTTTCAATTTTCAGCACCCAGAAGGGTGTCATGTAGGCAGCAGACATCAAGCATGTTTGCGGTGGGAATGCCAGTTGATTTGGAAGGAACTCCCTTTGTTTGATGGAAGGAAATAAGCTATAAAGGTTAGAAGGATGGGTTTTGGTGCTACTCAGACCTGGGATCATGTGTGTTTTCTGTTTTTAACAATACATAACTTCTGCCGCTGCCTGCCTCCCAAGTGCGAGGACCCAAGTTCCATCCCCAATACCAAAAAAAAAGAAGTAACTTCTGAACCTCAATATTTTCATCTGTAAAATGGATATGCAAATACATAACAGGCATACTAAGATTGTTATGAGCATTAGCTGTAAGACATTTGCTTAGGACAATAGTTGCTCAAGAAAAGGTAATTATATTCCCACCAATGACCAGTGATCTTGTGGGGTAAATAATTACAATACCAAATTATATCATTAGTAATGATAGCGTTTAGCATGACAGCATCTGTCCTATGAAGTCATGACTATTAAATCACTCAATCCTCTTTCCCCCATACAGACACAAGGGCTATTATTGGTCCAGGTTTACAGCTGAGACTCAGGTCTGGTGAACACCCTAAGAGAAAAGACACAGCCAAATTTTGGACTCGGCAGATTGGCCTAGAAGCAGAGCGCTTAACTACACTACTCCATGATACCTTCCTTCCCAATGACACAGATATGGACTTAGTGCTTTGGTGACATGCCTGGCGATCTTTTGGACAGTGTGGAAAGAGTGTATCCCACTTTGTGGCTTGCCCCAGGTACTTGGATTTGGTATTCACAATGGGTTTGTATCCACTAGGTGGCATTGCTGTTTTAATAAAATCTGAAGGGAGCCAATATTGAGGCTTATTGGTTGGCTAGATTTGAAAGCACTCTAAGAACAACCTAATTATACCACTTAAACCTGATGAAAAGTGCCTCCAAAATTTAGAGCATATGTAGAGACCTGTAAAAACTAATGATATCTTTAAATAAGAAAAATACATGCTAACTCGTCTTGCTTGTCAGTGTCTATACAGAAAGTTTGGCTATGAGATTAACTAGTCCAGTTTCACCAGCTCATAGTAAAACAGACTGAGGACCTTAGAGGGGAAATGACTTATCCAGGGTAACCCAGACCTGCTGGATTTGATGGTAGCTCTCTTTCTATAATCCTTCTTACTGGATTATGCATAAAATCATAAGGAAACTGGGTCTGAGCCAGAAGACTGTCCAACAGTGTTGAGTTTTCATTTCATTAGTATTTAAACATACGTTCCAAACCAGTAGTAGAGTTAGGAACTTAGCTATTCAGTAGCATAAATGCCAAAAAGTGGTGGCATTTCTTATTTACTCCTTTCACACTCTCTCTTGGGAAGAATGGATGCCTCCACTTCAAAAAAGTGTCTTTATTAGGTGACAGGGAAGTTTGTGAGTAGTAAACCCCTAGGGAGTGGGACATTAACTGATGACAGAGACAGTGGAGTCAGAATGCCTGGAGTAGACTTGGGCTCAGTTATGCAGTGAGCACAGGGCACTGGGACATCTGGAGACATCTGTTTCTGTAGTAAAATGAGAATCATATTTTTGCTTATTCTTAAAGACGTTTGTGAAAAGTAAGCGTCTGTGAACTAACTGCGATATGGTAAAAACAAGATGAAGGATAATAGCAGTAACTGAATATTTCTGTTATTATAGTGGATGTTTGGTTCTCTATGTCTCTCAGTTGTGAAAATCATTACAGCTGCTCTGTCAACAACTTTACTCACTGTCATGGGCTCAAATGCTACAAGGAAGAAATGACATTTCAGGTGTATGACTGTGGGACACCACTTCTTCCTCAGCCAGATGGTATCAGTGGCCAAGAATATGGCCCTGGATTTCATTCTGTGTTCATAGCAACTTAATTTAAAACACGTGTGGGCTGTAGGCACCTACTGAAAGGTGACTAAGCACATGGCGACCATATAATAATAGCAAGAGTTACTGAGCACTTGCCAAGTGTTGTAATTGTTGCACCATCCCTGTGAACTACAAATTAATACTTTCTCCTTTTTTAAGATGTGCAACTAGGACAGAGAGACTTAATCAGCCATAGAGCCGAGTCTTGAACTCGGGGAGCCTTGTCCATCGTCACGGCGCTGTGCCGCCTCCCAACCGGGGACTGAGGAGTCTTGAGGGTGCCTGACCCCTGGACTGCTGCCCCAGGGCCCTGAGCACTATGATGGAGGCCTGTGGAGCCTCTGTGGGGTTTGCTCTTCTAGGCTGCTGTGAATTTGCGACTCTGTCACCCAGGAGGGGAATAAGTAAACCTACATTAATGTTTTTACGGCATTTAGTTAATGAGATTAACTGGTTAAATATTCAATAGACTCTTGAGCTTGATGGGGTGAGACAGAGTGGCATCAGGGTCGGAAGAGAGCTTGCCTAGGACAGGGCCTCTTCAAGATCACTCCCGAGGAACTGAAGGGCGTCACAGAAGAAGGGGATCGGGTTGCTGATGCTATCACACCCGTGAGAGCTTATTTGTCACTCTTGGGTTTTGCAACCTTCCAGACCACATTTTCATTGCTATAACTTAGAGTTCTGGAATATGGATATTCAAGGGCTTTAACAGTCTCCTTCCTTTACAGTGGGGGAAACGGAGGAGTCATTTGCTAAGGTTTATCCTCAGTTATCGTACAGCAAGGGTAGAGCCCTGATTCATTTGGTTATTCCACATTGTTTTTATGTCTTTTTGCTATTTCACTTTGAAGAGCATCACATTGAATACTTGCTGAAATTTCCCTGTTTATACCAATAACATTTTTTTTCTTCAGTGAGAACCCAAATTCAACAGATAGCATCTGTTCTTTCTTTGCAGAGAGCATCTTTCTATTTATAATCTCTTCACTTCCTTTGCTTGAAATAAGCTCTTATGGGGCAAGGGAACAATGATATTTATTAGGGTATTTTAAAATAATTTTGTTTTCTCGGTGGAAGCCATGAATGCAAGTATTTCCATTTATAGCTAAGAAAGTGACCCAGATAATTAGGGTAAGTCACCTTCAGAGCAAAAACAGAACAAACAAACAAACAAACAAAAACTTGGAGGACATTTCCACTTACCGATTTCACTCATGGTTATGCCTGGTGCTAACTGCCCGCTGTTGAAGGGGCTATAGGTAAACAAGTTGGGTACCGTTGTGAGATCATAGATAGGTTCCTGCTTTATCTGTTTGATCCCAGTCATGTCAAGTCCTGACTGATCGGGGGATGGCTGGCCAGAATCCACGCTGTAGTACCCCTCAGATTTGGGCAGGTCAATGACGTGCCCGTTGGCGTAAGTGCCGCTGGTCTCGTTGCTCAGGTTGCTCAGGCCATTGCTGATGCTGTTGCTGTAGACCCTGGCGAGGGCCTCTGCCTCCCCGCTCTGCTGCTGCCTCTGCTCCTGCAGCCGCTGCTGGTGCTTCTGCACCTCCGCATACAGGCTGTCCCTTTGCTTCTTGGACATCCTACCAAACTTCACCGCTGGGTTGGAGAGAGAAACAGAATACGGGACTTGAGGTTATCCTTCTGCTTAAGCAGCTATGGTCATGCATGTTTGTTCCTTCAACATCAAGTAGACAAACTGGTAGCACCACAGCCCTGAGCCCTTCGTTTGTGCTCTACATTTAGTGAAAGGATGTAACTGGGCGGCATCTGTACTGGTGTCTGTCACACTAAGAACTAAATCTAAGCATGTTAATTGGTTTAATTGGTTTTCCATCACCGTAACAAGTACGTGACTTAGTTAACTTACAAAGAAAAGAGTTTGTGCTGGCTCTCAGTTTTTGAAGTTTTAGTCCATAGTTTGGTAGCCCCATCGCTTCTGGGCCTGTGGTGAGCCAGCCATTTGTGGAGAGAGGGTGAGGTGCAGTGAGCTGCTTACCTTTTGGCAGGTACGCAAAATGGAGGAAGAGGAAGGGCTTGGAGTTCCATTAGCCCCTCCAAGGGTGCACCCCCTGTGACCTAAGACTTTTCCCTAAGCCTCCCTTCTCAAGGGTTTCCACCACCTCCCAAAGTGCCAAACTGGGGACCAAGCTTTTAATACGAACCTTTGAGGGACGTGCAAGATCCAAAGCATACGTGCATTGAGGTGATACTCTTAAGTGATATAAATAGGACACACGTGTAAATACTGAGTAGTTTAGTGGGAGAAACTGAAAGTGAAAGTGAGGAATAAAAGGTATAATAGATAATGTGAGATAGGAAGAAAAAGGGCAAAGAGGAAGGGGAAACGGGGAGGGGAAAGGAGGGAAGGGAATGGAATTAGTATGAGAAAATTAAATATAATGTAAACAAAGTCTCTGTAGATTGGAAGGGAGGGGTTGAAGGAAGGAAATGGGCATGGGGAAAAATAAGAACCAAGATTGGTTATGTATAGGTACAAATTCCCAAGAATGAATGTCATTATGCACATTAAATGTACCAATAAAATTAATTAAAAAAAGAACAACTGTGGAAGAAACTAAAAAAACTAAGATAGGAAAAATAAAAACATGTGTATTTCTCATTACTATGCCTTCATAAGCACATTTTCTTGTTCTTTTCCACTTGTGAAACTCACAGATACACACACACACACACACACACACACTCACTAAGGGTACCAGCTATTAAAATGTTCACCAACACTCATTATGCACTTTCTCTTCTAGGTATTACAATTATTAGGGCGTCAGAAAAGATCCTGTTATTTTGCTGAGTGTTGAGTAAGACCAAGGAATATGGCAGAGTGATGGACACAATTTTAATTGAAACACATTGTTTACTGTCTGCTGGATTTGGGGACAAAAAGATAAGAGCCTTTGGAAGGCAGTAAGTTTGCACATCTAATGCCTGACAAGGGAACAAATAGTAAATACTTTTCCTCATTCCACCAGGTCCAAGTTTTATTTTATCTATTTCTTCTGGCAAAATCCTGAGGTATTCTGAGGAAAAATGAAGGAGAAGCTCTGCAAATAGTCACCGAGTAATATAAAGAGACATTCATTCTAATACATTGTTTCTGAACTCATAACGTAGAACTTTCTGAAATGTTATGGATTCTGACCTCTTCCCTGACAAGTTGTCATCTCCATTTTCACAATGTAAACACCCTCATCTCAGGGCTACGTGGTCTGAATTGTCCCATACTCTTTACCTCACATAAATGGGGGGAGGGGGCTATGACAACCTTGGAGGCTTCTCTTTGGATTTGTTTTCTTTTCCTTGGTGGCAGTGTTCCTACCACCTGTTGGTGTTGGAAGCTGAGAAAAGGTAGAAAGAAGCCAAAGGAGTGCAGAAAGAGCTCCTGGATTCAGGTGCGAGGGTGGGGTGTTTTCTGAGAATAACTAAAGGATGAGATGTTTGTGAACTCTCTAGCTTATGGGTCAACATTCAACCCACAGTATTCCACCAGAATTCATGCTCTCCTTCCGTTGAGTATAGAGGTATAAATTTTATCTGAGTGTGGACAGTCAAGAAGGGACACACTTCCTGACAGATGTGGCTATGTGATTAACCGGAAGTAGATGGACACGTTGCTTACACTTCCAGGTGAAGGGGCCTACAGTTTCCTCCTTCTGGGGAGCTGGATGTGAGGACTGGATATAGAGACACTTGAACTCTGTATATTTCTCCTTAATCTTTCAAAAGAGTCTTACATTCTGGCTTTCTGATGCTAAGTAGGAAAATGATGTGGTAATTATCCAGCAATTTTTCTGTATGAAGACAAGCAGTCTGCTTAATTCCCAGAGTCTCTTTTCCATCTCACCTCTTGCTTTTACTGGCTCTTGAATCACTGAGGTCACTGTGTTTCACTTTGTTTGCAGATGCACTACTTTTATTTGGTCCAGCCCCTGGTCTAGTTGACCAGAAGGAGGAAACTGTAGGCCCCTTCACCTGGAAGTGTGAACAACACTTCCATCTTCTTCCGGTTAATCAGAATTTATTTACTTACTAAATGTAAGTAGCACAGTTTGTCTTTGGGTAGAATTCTACAGTAACCTTTAGGCAAAGCTTTCTCTGTGCCTTTATGTGATACCTCTCCAAATAATTTGTATTATTCTTTATGGGAATAAAGCCTTTTTGTATGAGAACAAGTAAATGACAGAAAACAAGTATTGATGCAGGAAGACCTCTTCCCCAACAAAATACTGTGATGCAATTTTTTATCTGCTGCCCTTCTATCTTTTCCATTCATGTCAGTTCAGAGCAGCTGTTTGTTGCAGTCACAAAGGCAAGCCGGGCATGGTGGCGCACACCTGTAATCCCAGCACTCGGGCAGCTGAGGCAGTAGGATCGCTGTGAGTTTGAGACCTGCCTGGGCTACATAGTGAGTTCCAGGTCAGTCTCAACTACATAGTGAGACCCTGTCTCAAAAAAAAACAAAGGTGAATACAAGAAGTATTTCTATTGTTATAGATTTCATACTGTGAGTTTGACCTGCCTGGGCTACATAGTGAGTTCCAGGTCAGTCTCAACTACATAGTGAGACCCTGTCTCAAAAAAAAACAAAGGTGAATACAAGAAGTATTTCTATTGTTATAGATTTCATTTTTGTTTAGGTCAGTGCTGAACTACTACTTATTTTAATGGAATAGTTTTGCATATATTTGTTTAAAATTTATAAGAACTGAAATTTAGAATGAGAAACTCTTCTAACACTCAAGCAGAAATATGGTGCTTATTTTAAAAGCACATTTCTCTTGATCCTTGCTTTAGATTCTATATGCTTTACATTTGGGTGAAATATACTTTGTGGCAGGTTGTTTGCATTGATGACTCTAATTGCTCTCACTTTTTCCCTTTCATTCTAGGCAGGCACAGCTGCCCAAAGTTGGACTCATGGTCATGCGACCTGCTCTGGATCAGTGCAACATTATCACATGTGTACAAACAGGCTTGAAAAGGACTTGCCAGATTGGATATCTCAGCTTGACAGGGGTATGCCTAAGACAGCAGGCCACAAAGTATGTGAAAGCTGTCCACGCCTCCTCAGTCCTCCCAGTCGGTCATGGGAGGCCACCAAGCCCCAGGGCTGACCGGCTGTTGAAACAGGCAGAGATGTGCTGTTAACCACTAGTATCACAATTAGAGTGAACAATGTCAAAAACAGTCTTCCACCATGGGCTCTGCTCTGCCATAAATCTAAAAATTCAACAGAGAGAAGCTATGACTTTTCTAAGAAATCTACTTATCAGGTCTCTGAACAACTGATATAGTTAGAAAGAAGCAACTTAGAGCTCCACTACATTTCAGAATTATCAGGCTTCATCCTAAATCCAGGACTTCACTGGCAATGACTGTAACAACACATTAGAATGAGTTTTTCATTCATTTCAGAAAGAGTGGCTCATCAACATTTCACTTTTACATGTCTTTCTGCAGCAAAACTGTTGGTGTATTTGGGAAAGAATTACAGGATGTCGCAAAAATAAAGCTACTAAACTTTCATGACATATAAATAATTCCTTGTCACTATTTGTAAATGCATTTCTTGTATTCATAGATCTACTTCAATAAAGGCCGTGTTACTTTTTTTTAGTATTACCATTCTTAGCACTATTCACCGATGAGAATGGCATGTATGCTAAGTGTTTGCCCATCTCATACTTGAATTTTTCACTTGAGGATAGACGAAGACTCTTGCTAACCTGCTACTTCCTATATAAAGAAGCAGTACAATTCTGTGTACATTGTGAGCACTTTATAAATATTCAATAATGATGGTATTTGTTCATGATATGCTCTTAATTCTCATTTCAATCCCATGTTAGCAAAGAACAAATTTATGCAAAATTATCAAAAATCATTTCATCTTTATTCAGAGTATGGGATTCTAATCCCATAAAACACAGTCACTGCCTCTTCAAAAGTTTCTACTTATTACTATATGATACCTGGACAGGTATTTTTGCCTTTAAGACCACCCAGCTGTATAACTATCATCTATGGCTTTGTGTAGTCATTTTGGGAAATTATCCTATCTTATTACCTCCAGTTGTGAAATTCTTCCTATTTATACCTTGCTATTTATACCTTACCTGTTAAACTGGTCTAAATTTAACGCTCAGCTTCCGAGATGTGCCCCTCCACCATTAGTGCTCTAGACTGTGTCAGAGAAGTCTGATCCAATCTACATAGCGCTGTTGGTTTGACATCTCTTACTTCCTAGTTTTTCTCCAACAGAACTTCTAGAGATGAAAGAATGTTCGCTATGATTTCCAGTATGGTACCCACAAGCACACGTGGCTGTCAAGCATTTGAAATACAGCTCATGTGGTTAAAGAATTGCATTTTAAGTGTTTTTAATTTTAGTTAACTGAAATGTAAATGATTTAAATGGTGACGTATGATTGGACAATACAGTGCTGAATAGAAGAAGTTTCATCTAATCTATGAAGCCTTTCCTTGCAGGGAAAGTCCATCTTTTTATAGAGGTACGGCATTTAAGAGGACACAGTCTAGTTTTTTCTTTTGTACCAGGGATTAAACTCACGACCTTGTGCTTGCAAGGCAGGCAGCAGCATCACTGAGCTAAATCCCCAGCCCTACCCAGTCTAGATTTTCTTTTCTTTTTTATTGAGTTTATTGGTACAATCTAGGTCTACAATATCTAGATTCTTAAAAATTACTAATTAAATTATATTTTCCACATTCTAGTTTTTGCTAGGTTTCCTGTCTCTCTGCAAGCTCAGTATCTTTCTACTGTTACTGTTTTTCAGTAAATAGTCACATTGAATGTTCATTGTATGTTCTTCTATAAAGGGTTTGGTTAAAACAATATTTGTGGAAGATCTAGTTAAAAGAAAAATAGTTAAAATGGAGAAGATTCCTATAATCAATTCACACATAGGTGCATTTTCACCTTCCTGTAAACATAAACACATATATGTATATTTAAAATGGGCTTGATTTTTTTGCCTAAGCTAAATTTGAACCAATTTGTTATTGTTGAATTTGATATCTATTCATATATGTGTCATAGCAAATAAAATGGTATACATGTGGAAATTCAGAAAAGAATGGAAATCTAGTGGTTTAAATAGTTATGCTAAGCTACTTACTGGCAGCCATACTGTTTTTGTGCTAGTGAAGGTGAGATTCTGGGAGCCAAGAATAAGTGGGTAAAGCAAAGTGAACAATACCCTAGTGGGTCTCTGAGGAAAGGCAGGGGTTGCAAACAAATTAAAAGTGAGGATATTTTGCCGTGGCCTTGGTAATACTGCTAAAGCACTTTGAAAGTATTTGCTTAGAGAGTAGATGAAAGGAATAGTAAAAAAGAATGGCAGGAGAAAGTTCATCGGGCATTTCTGAGTTCTGACTAGACATTGTAAATTCACCATAACTTCAAGGCTTTTGAATTCAGTAGCACAAGCTTGGCATTACTTATCACTAGCAGATAAAGCTGAATCAACTTCCTGGGTTTTAGTATGATTTATTTGGTGTAATGGACTCTTTACAATCAAGTTTCTGACCAACTCCCTCTATTGGACATGGTAAAGAAGAGGCTTTTTCTGAGGGCGGGTGGGAGAGAAAGCCAGAGTGGAGGGAGGAGAGAGACTGTACATATTCTTACCCCTCATCTTTGCTTTCCCAGTAACCACTCCTACCCCCATCAAGTTTCTTCCTGATCAATGTGACATAAGACAAGCTTAGCAGGCATTTGAGGAGAAGTTCCAGGCAGCCTGAGGGTGGTCTCTGGATCTAAAGTTAAAGTGGATAGCTATCCTTATTCCCCAGTGTCCTAAGGCACTACATCACTTTTATTTGCATAGAAGAGTATGAGCTACAGTAAGTCTCTTCCTGCTTGAGAACAGATTGTGGCTGTACACATTAAGAAACACTCTCAACATTTGTTTTATGTCATGGGATTCAAACATCTCTTAGATTTGATGGACCGAGTCTATTGAAGTCTGCTGAATCTGACTTGGGACGTGTACTCATGTCTTGTCCAGCACAGTCTCGCAGACCTGCCCTTCCAGAAGAGGTGCTTCCTTAGATTGTAGGAAGAAGTCACAAAAATAACAACAACATTCTTCATTTAACAACCGAATTCTGCTCCTGCGATCGGGTAGTTAAATGAATCGGTTGCTAAAGGAGGGATTGTATACAGTACATACATTACAATGTTCAGAGTAAAGAAATGGTCAAAGGAAACTCCACCTTGATTACTTTGCTCTTATCACATAACTCTTACATGCAGTACTGTAATGTATATTGGAACATGAACCTATAGAGTACTTAATACCCAGAATACAGAATGTATACAGTATGTATACGGTATACAGAAAAAAACACACTACAGTATTGTAAACAAGGTATACTGGACCAAAAAGACATTAAGGCTCTAGAAACAAGATGTACAGAACTGTACCAAAAAAGATAAGTCAAAAGCCTGAGTGACAGGTCGAAAGTACAGACAGTTGCTAAATAGATTGTTAACTGAGGAATATCTGTATATCCAACAGGTTATCTGTTTTGCAATTTATTAGTGGCATTTTCTAGATATTGTCAATGAATATGCTGCCTCCATATGGGAGAAATGAGGTGCAAAGTCATCAGCTCAAATTCACATAGATTTTCATTAAATAAACCCTGAAAACTACTTAACCCCCTTCCTCCACTTATTTGTCTTAGTTATGTAGAAGCCACACAGGGCTATAAATTTATGCTAGGAGTAGATTTATGTGGTTATAACCCCTGGAAAACAAACAAAATGAAAAACTTAGCTAATAGGAAAGTTTTGGAAGCTTGATCTGTAGCTTCAGAAGCTATCTATAAACTGTAATCCTCAAGGTTAAATTCTTTCTAATTTTTGGGGTCCAATTTGGGTACACATTTCTGCAAGGTGAGTTTAGGTTGATTGTGAATTGGAGAAAAGGTTTAAAAAACCCCATAATAACTCTTTATATCCCTGTATACTAAGGGATAATGCATACTAATTACACACACACACACACACATATGTATGATTTTTAAACTTGGAAGTTTCTGTCTTTGTTTTCATTTAAATTTTTTATGTACGCTACCTTGATCTTGTACTTTACTAGAGGGAGTATGATTGTAGGCACAGGACCCACAGTGATTCACATAAACAGTAAGTTATCGGGATATTATCTGTCTCTATCAACTAGAGGTGGGAAATAATTTTATAGGTCATTTAATAGATGCTTAGGTCTCTGCTTTTAATTGACCTTAAAGATACCATGGAAACAAGACAGAAATGGCCCCAGAACTCAGAGCCATTTGTAATTTGCTACCTGAGAGCTGTGTCCAATCTCCATAGGGAAAGAATTAAGGTACATAATTGCCTAAAAATGGAAGCTAGTTAAAATTATTTGTTCATCTTATTTGAGTTTATCTTCTTTTGGGTGGGGAGCTAGTACCCAGTTGGATTGGCACGGAGGAGGAGTGTACACTTGTAGCATACCCTGAATGGGACACTGTCTATACAACCCTTGTTTTTGGTAGGTGGATTCTGGGAATTGCATGCAGGGCCTCACACGTGCTAGGCAACTCTCTCTGCTACAGAGCATTACTACAGACTCTTCTATATGCTGGAAGTTTTTAAATTTGTTTTTTCAGTATTGGGGATTGAACTCAGAACCTTTGCACTGAACAAGATATCTAGCCTTTTTATTATTTTGAGACAAGTTCTTGCTCTGTTGATAACTTGGCCTAGGTGGGCTCAATTTTGTGATTCTCTTGTCTCTGCCTTCCAGAGTACTAGGATTATAGGTGTGTGGTACCTTGCCTGACTCTTACATAGTCCTTCTAAGACCTAGAAATCTGTTGTAGCTTTCCCAGTCTCCACCATGGATCAGAAGGGTGCAAACCCTTACCTGGGTACATATGACTAGTCAGCCAAGATTCTGAGCTTTCTATAGATGCATATTCTGCTCCTTACCATTTTCCTCAGTAAGCAGTTTGTGCGCCAGTGAGATATCCCCAGTGACTTTCTCTGTTTGCTAGGAACTTTCCAGTTTTAGTCCTGAAAGTCTCACATCTCAGGAGACACCTTATTCCCAGCTAAACGTGGGTGTATGGACACCTTCGACCTAGGCCTATGGGTTTTCACTTCCCCTAGATGGCACAGGCTGGTCCATGAGGTACCTTCACTTCTTCTTATGCAGGCAATGCTATATGTTAGATGTTAATTTTGCTTCTTAGTTCACTACCTGCACTGTGGTTCTCTTTTCTTCTTATCCCCACTTCCCACATTTAAATTCTTCCAGTAACTTGAATAAACTGAGTGAAGCATCCATTTGAAAATCTTAAAGGAAGAAATGGGAATGTAAACCCCTTACCATCTCTCGACATTCCTAGGGCAAGACACTTCTGCAGTCTGCAGTGTTGGCAACGGTTTCGGTTGGTCCTGTCAATTAAACAGTTTCTCTGCCTAGGGCAGGAATAGGAGGCATTGTTCTGCTGGCTCCTCCTAAAGAACCCCTAGAAGGAAAAAGATAAGGGGCTAGCGGATGTATAGGAAAGCAGATATAAACATGCAGGCCAGATACATTTTCCATGATGTACAAAAGTGCACATAATTTGAAGAATTCTTTTGGATAATTATCCTCGAGTTTTCAGATGTTTCTGTGTGGAAATGTATGTTATCTGTAGAGATATGAAGGCTCTATTCACTTATACATCTGATGTTTATTAAAAATATTTGTGAGCTGTGCTATTCTCTGCCAAGAAAGCAGTTTCTGTCCCCTAAAAGCAGTGGGGAAGGAATGACAAAGAAGTTTGCCATTGGTAAACCCACTGGGATAGGGACACAAGGTGTGCCAAGTGCTCTGGTGATGAGGGGCACAGGGCAGCAGCAGCAGCAGCAGCAGCAGTGGTAGCATTGATGAGCACAGGCTCAGAATGTGTTACTGTATTCTTCCTAAGCCACATTTTTCTCTAGTTGAATAATTTTTACCCTGGCCAGAACACATGTGGAAAGATGTCTACAAAGCAATGATGTGCCTTCTGATCAATCACATTTTCGAGTAAAGAAAATAAAGAATAAACCCTTCAATTAAAAAGAAGATAAGGCAGTTGTAGTGATCCAAACCTGTAATTCCGGTGCTGAGGGAGACTGGGGCAGAGGGACAGAAAGTTTGGGACCTGTGTGGGCATCTCAGTGAGACCCTGGCTCAGAGTGAATAAAAATGGTCTGATGGAGCTCAGTGATGAGTGTCCCTGGGTTTGATCCCCAGTACAACTCCCCACCCCAAACCATAAAACAACCAAACAAAGTACAATCTGATCTAATAGTCTCTGCTTGGCCTTGGCCTATAATGATATAAAAAGTCTTCATACAAGTCCGTCTGAGTCCTCCTGCCAAAAATGAACAGCCAAGGACTATACGTTACCCTTCTAATCTACAGCCAAGCTTGTTCTTTTCAATTCTCTAAATACCACCCTCCCTTAGTTATCTTACAGGAAACATTATTGGAGAAAATGAGTATTTTCTCCATAGTTATCATTTATCCATTCAGTCCCTCTGCCATCAGTTTTCCTAATCATTCCTTGCTCTTGAATTGCCCATAGGGGACCGCAGAGGCTTGAGCAAAATGATATTCTGAAACAGAGGTGCAAAGAGAAATTTTAGGAAGCGACAACCCAGGATATCACCTTTTGGAAGGAAGATGACTTAAGAAGTTTGGGGTAGTGTAAGCTGACAGGCCTGGAAGACAGTCCCCGAGTTCTGTACAACACCTTCTACGTGTCCATAGGTGGACAGAGCAGAGCTGGACTTATACAAGGTGAGTGAAACAATCATCTTGATGGCAAAATTTATGATTCACCAAATAATTGATAATTAGGAAATGTAATATATTAATGCAATGTACTAAAAACCGGTGTGAAAGAGAGGAAAAAAAATCAACAGTTTAAAGAAAGACCGAATTGATATTGTCAATTTTCCCTTTGTCATGGGTTCCAGTGGGGCTCCGTTTGGTCCTGGGAGGAGAGCTCTGACAATTTGTAAGGAATTTCAGAAATGGCTATGTGGCCAAGGGTCCCTTAGAAAGAGCCCCAGGTGGTTTTGTGGTTTAAGCCCAAAGCCATTCCACAAGGACTGGATTCCTCTTCACATCTCCCTGTGTGTCATTTATTTACTGGACCAGTGATGGTAGAATGAGACATCTGATTGTCCAGTTCAACTGGATTCCTACTAACATAGAGGCCACACATAAGTCCTGAGGGGTTGAAGAGATGTGTTTCATATACTGGGAAAGCTGTCAGAAAGCATGCCCTCAGCACATCAGTCTTGATTAAAGGTGACATAAAATTTACATTTTAAGAAAGAATGGGGTGGCTTTTAATCTTTGGATACTATAGTGCCACTTAGCAAAGAGTTGACAGTAATGACTTTTTTGAAGTCTCAGCTACAAGCCTTAATTTAAGGCCAATTTGACATTAATTACGGGGCTTTACTTGCTTAACTGTTACTCATTATTGCAAATGAGGTTTGGGGCATGAAAAAGATTGTTTCAAATTTTACTGAATGAGCAGGCATTGGAGAAATGTAAAATGGGTTGCTCATGTCTACTCAAAAACAGAATTATCAGAGTTCAGAGGTTGGTCACTGAAACTGCTGATGTGAACATCTAATCTTGAATGAAATTTCTTGAGTTTTTCTATTTAGAGGAAAATGTAGCATTCCTCTAAATGTGGGTTTTTCCAGGAAACAAATAAAAATAGTATGATGTGTAGTTTTGACTAAAACCTCAGCATATGTTGTATAGTAACAACATAATTTCTTTGATTGTGGATTTTTCTTTTAAATATGAAAGATGGCAGAAGTCCTGGCTAGTGACCTATTCGATTATATATTTGTCTAATTTTGAAATCATTTAGAAATTACTGTTTGAAATATTTTGCTTCACATGAATACTGTATATATCTATAATTTGAAATCTGACATTTCCCAAATAGGTCTTATACAGTAAAATACCAAATACTTACATTATGACATTGATATAAAATTTTTTTCCTGAATACAATGTACAATAGATGACAGCACATAAAATTGTAGAATAAGCCAAAAGACTAGTAGAAATGCCACCAGAGGACGGGTTCTGATTCCAAATTGCCAATGTTTACTGAGAAGGTAGTACTAACCAGAGGTAGTACTAACTTATTCAAGGAGGGTTAGAAATTGTCCATGTATTATTTTGCTTTCTGTTTCTTATTGATGAGATGAAAATTGCATTAAGGTGGATAACATGCAATTCTTCACTGTAGCTCTGCAGAGTAACAGAAAGCAAGGGCAGCTCAGGATGTGGCCATATGGGTAATCATTAATCAACTCCAAGGCAAATCAGTGTGCTTATCTTCTTCCTTCTCCTACTCACTCCCACTTATTTCTTTTTCCTTTCTTCTCTCTGTTTGCAATTGCAGGAATCATATTTTTGAGACTATTATGAAGACACTACCAATTTTTCCCATATCAGCATGATTTGCCCATTACAGTATGTTTTTTTTTTTCTTAATTATGTCGGAAAGTCTCTTAAGATTAAGACTGAATTCTGGAATTTATAAATGTCATACCTCTTTTAGTTTAATGACTTAATTTAATGATGCACTTTGACTGCATCTTTGAACAAAAATATAATTGGTCCGAACAATAATTTTGCCAACCTAACATCATTTCCCTCCCAGATGGTAACTGCATTCTATTTGTTTTGGTTACATGTGACTCTTTAAAGTTCATTGTAGAACATTTAGTTTCATTCAATCTTTCTAAAGATAAATTTTAAAAATTTATGATTAAGTTTCAAATTTCTCTTGCTTAAGATTAGGTCTGTATTAACTGCTATTTCTTCAGGTCTGTATTTTAGAGGCCATTGATTGACCGGAATGAAATTTTTTTTCTTTTCTTTCTTTTTTTTAAAGATTGGTGAGATCTATCTGAAAAGGACACTGGACTGAAAGTGATGAAACTTTTGATTGTTCTGGAAACTTTTGTCCAGCTTTTTACTATCTACATCAATGATGTTTGTTGGTGACAATATTATATTAGTTATATTTATACTTCAAGACCTTATCAATAAAAGAAGAGTTTGGGTTGGATAGTTTTGAATTGATTTAGAGTGTCTGATCCACTTCTAACAATTCCCATACTCTAATTTTTCTTTTTATGAAATATGAAAATAAAGGATGTGCATATGTGTAATAAAATTGTCTCCTTGACTTCATAAATATATACTCTTTATCTTTTAATTTAGTTCTATTATATGGTCATAAGTGCCATGGGATTTACTGGGGAAAGTGCTGCTAAAGGAGCAGGAGTCAGTATTTATATCTCTGTAAATGCAAATAGTTCAAGCCTTTATGTAACAATCTCTTTTTAAGGAGCTGCTGACTGCTTAGAGAAAAAGAGAGAGAAGGCAAGAGAACAGAGAACAGACCCCCCCCCCACAAGCCACAAGTCCTGAGGGTCAGCAGCAGGCACAAGGCCTCCAGCAAGCCTTCCTCCCGAAGGTGTTGCCTGTGCCTCTGAGGGCACACAGCTGCCTGAGGCAAAGTCCCTACCTTGCAGCCTTCACACGTGATGACTCCGTAGTGGATCCCGGAGGATTTATCGCCACAAATTTTGCATGGTATCACTTCAATTTGTGCTGAAAGGGGAAAACAGACACGTTGAGTTTACAGGGTCGTCTTCCGCTCATCCTGTGCAGCCTCCCAGCGATGCTTGTGTTTGAAGATCCTGGAGTGGCAGTGGTGGTATAGAGTTATCCGTTCCTATTTGAATGATTTTCCAAGTGTTTTAAGTGAAAGGAAAACCCTTTACTTTTGCTTTTTGTTTTCTTCTCAAACTAAAATAAATAACTAGGGACTAGAAATTTCCTAAACTCTTGCCTTCAGTGTTTTCTCAACTTTAAACTTAAAATTAATGCAAAACCCCTTTAACTCATGAGTTTTGATTTCTTTTTTTTTTTTTTTTTTT